ATATATATATGCTGGATGGAGTTCTAAACAAAACACTTTCCAGAAGACTCCAGTGACACATCTATGCATTCATTCATTCACTCGTTCATTCATGGATCGCTAAGTGTGTATGAGCTCATTTCCCATGAAATAACCAATTATGCGTGGAAATGCCGAGGAGTATTTTTCGCCTGCTGCGGCAAACTTGGCAACCCATCGCTGTGTCTACTTTTTTTTGGCTATTAATTTTGATGCCTTTCTCTTTAGCACTCACTCATTGCTCGGTGGCAAGACACCACACGCAAGTTTTCGCCTTCATCCGCAATTTTCTGGTTATTTTTGCAGCCATAAACATTGCAAATGCTAGTTTCTTGCGAACTGTGCCGATTCATTATTTTCTTGGTAATTTCATTCCGAACTGAGATTATCATTTGTTTGGAAATTCTTGGCTGCTCACAACTCTTATGCAAAAAGCACCACGCCTTCCCATTATCGCTTGCATGAAGAGCAGGAGATTCAGTTGCTGTTATCAGCTGCCACTATCGGCGCCCAGAAATCCCCATTATCACTTAATCTCTGTGAAAGGTGAAGATACACAGAAGCAGCGCGAGTGAGTGGTATGACAAATCGCTAATAGCTATCACCACACCGTTATTACTACCAAATGATTTTGTCGCATGGTTCTGGGATAATAATATGGCAACGGCAGCAGCACACTACGGGAAAGTAAATGACAGGTCTGGCAAAATCCGGATACACAACGCATCGTTACTGAAGTGCCTAGCTGTAATTATTGGCTGTCACCTAGAAGCTACAAAATACACTTCAGTCACCAACAACTGCCCACCTTCCAATTAAAAGCTTTCGATTAACCGGCTCCGGGCACACTATTTGAGTTATATTTCCGGTGGAGTATTGGTCCAGAACAAGGTCGAAGACCAGTTTCCAACACAAGGCTCGAAAATTACGCATGAACACTTGCGGAGGCTGTGCTGCCAAACAAATTCTACGTTCCCACAATTATTTGTATTTACTATTGCCAGTGCTATAACTGGTGAGAACACCTTCCACCATTATTCAAAGCTTTTATTCCTACTCTTGAGATATTTCTTTCTGACAAAACATCCGAAAAAAAGAGCAAGGAACTAGCTACGTGACGAAACTCCGTTCGCTGCAGCTAATTTTGAGATCCTGGAAGAAAATTCCACACATTTTCTAAAAAAGAAAATCCAGTGAAGCATTTTTATTGTCCGGTTATCAGGCGCGATTTATCTTGCAACAAAGCGAAAGAAAAAAAACCGGAAAAAGGAAAACTCACAGTTTCAGTTCTCAATACAGACAAGCTTCTTCATCAGATTCTCAATTTTTAACAAAAAAACATTGGTTCTACAGATGTACTGCTGAATCTGTTATCGATTAGTGATTTCTATTCGATTCCTGTTTTCGAGTGTTTTGCATCACGCTCCTGGGCAGGGATGATGATGGTGATTTGAACCTCACAAAACCGACCCAGTTTCACGTGCTATCGAACAACTGTTTGAAGCGAGCAAGCAACAGAAGCTGAAGTTTATAGGGTCGTAACACTGGTAGCTTGGTGAAAAATAATGGCGATGGCACCGGAAGCTTCAGCAACCGCCGAATCCTCTTCCAGTGCTCCTTCAACCTCAAAACATCGCCCTTATCAGGACCAGCGACAAAAACAGTCTCGAAATCAGCAATGCCTACGGCCATCGCAAGATTATCACCAAACTCCTAATAATTATCATCACCATCGACAACAACAGCGACAGCATTACTGTCAACAGAACGCTTCATCGTCGAAGCAGCAACAGCAGGAGGAGCAGAAGCGACCAGCTTCTGCATCCTCGAGCACATTTTCTTCGCCGAAACTCACTCTACGTGAGTCGTTACGTGAGTCATTCCGTGATTTGCATATGCCACGAATTTTATCAAATCTTTGGAAACCTGCGTCCGAGATAAGTTTGGTACTAGAAGCGATGCGTTATGGATCGTCGCCAACTTATCTGCTGACGCATGAGCCACCGCCAAAGACGGCGCCTACTACTGGCCGCCCAAGTTGCACCTCAAAATCAACCGGTAATTTGGCACCGAAGAAGCGGAAACGCCGAAAAGCCATAGTTACATGGCAGAATTATTCGCCGCATCATATCAACAAGCAAATACGATATGGTAATAATT